AAAGCTTTTGATGCATCATCACATTTTGGATCCCAAATGTCATAGTCTTTTAAATGTTGCATTGCTCTCCTAACAGACTGAACTGATGCCTGAAATTCACACAAACCAGGAAGATTTTTCATTGCTAGTGAGACTCCCTCCTGAATCAAAAAATCGCACACATCATGTTTATGATCCCTATAGGCAAATCCTAATGCTAAAGATGCATCTTCACACTTTGGATCCCAACTGTCAGTGTCTTTCAAATGCTGAATTGCCTTCTTAACAGATGCAAATGATTTTGATTCCATTATAACAGCAGGAAGATTCTCCATTGTCAGTAAGACTTCATCTTGAATCAGCAGATCACATACATTATATTTATGTGTACTGTAAGCTATTTGTAATGCTACAGATGCATCATAACAATTGGAATCCCAGACACCAGTGTCTTTCAAAGTTTTTATTAAAATGGAAACAGTCTGCTGAGAACTATATCTTAATACATTAGGAAGCATGGCCATTAACACACTGACTCCATTTTGTACAAGATAAGATGCCATATCAAACTGCTCTTTACAGTAAGCTATATATAGTGCAGTGGAATATGGAGCTAGCATGGCTTTTCTTGAATACATCGAAGGTTGCAAGAAAACATCCTTGTGGGCACAATATTTATGAAAATGGGGATTCCAGATATTACGACATTTCAGAAGTTCTGTCACCTTCATTAAAGCATTAATGTCTCCTTGTCTTACAACATCTACTACATGCCTAATATCAAGAGTGATCTCTTCTTTTAAGAATTCTATCACATCTTGGTGTCCTGATATATAGGCTCTACAGAGAGCATCTTTTGTCTCATCACATAAAGGATTGAAGATCTGCCTCCTCTTTAAGCTCTCAAGGACAATCTGAACTCTTCTGAGGTCACCATGTCTTGCAGCATTACAAAGACTTGTGTGTGTATAACATGCATTAATAGCAATTAGTTTATCTGTGATCTCAAAATGGTAGTAGTAAAGAGACAATTCCAGTAGCATTTGCTTTTCTTTACACTGCCAACACCCAGTACTGATATTCTTACATGTGCATACCAAGAATTCCAGTAATTGACTGTACACTGATGTGACGACATCTACATCACTTTGCATTAGATGTTGCAAAAATGTGATACAATCTCCTTCTGTTAGATCTTGGTGTGCATGGAATTCAAATTCATCACTGAAAAATTCCCTGACCCTATCACTGTTTTGCAACTTATTCTTCAGTTTCATCAAAAACTGATCCTGTTTGAGTGCTGAATGTTTCACAACACTCTTTACAAGTCCTTTCACTACATCATAAACCATCCGCTCTGCCAGAATTTCATATAAAGACAGAGGTATAAATGTTTTCTGTGAAGTTGTGTCTTGGGTTTCTGCAGTGTAGGTTCTCTGATACAAATACTCAGCATCACCAAATTTCACTACTATCTCCGGACAACAATCCCAAAGGACCCTTACTACAGCCTCACAGACTACAGCATGCGAGAATGAGAAGCAGGGTTTTGGAACAAAAGACCCTAAAATGACTTCATGTGAAATGGACTTCACAACATACAACCCCAAAAAACTTTCATAAACATCCCTCAGTAATGAAACAGAAGCCTCTCTTTCTGAAATGCGGAGTTGTAAAGCCAAGTCCATCAATAACTGTTTGCATGACTCTGGCATAGCTTCCAACGATAAATACTCCTCACGTATCCCACCATTACAAAAAAGAAATACCAGAGATAAGAATCTTGTAGGCTCCAACTTGGAGATATTATCAACAAATGATTTTTCTGGAGAGTTGAAGAATGCTGATCCTCTATTAAACAAGTTACTATCCCTTGCAAATAGTAAACAGCATTGTGGAAAGTCAATCAAACCACTAAAAGTAGCTATGCATTTTTCCATTTCATTTCCATTCATAGTTTTTTTATGTCTCTGAAGCTGTCTATTTAAAATGCTCATCTTCTCTGAATTTTGTAGTTGTTTTGAAGAGAGGGTTACTGACAAATCATTAGAAAATAGTTTTATTGATTCTAACTTGTAACCTTCTGTAACTTCTGCCTCTGACAGTATGTCAGCTCTGGTGGTTATGATGACCTGTAACTTACCTGCAAAAACATGCTCTTGTATGGTGGGTAAGTAAACCATCCAGTTTTGCAAATGGCCCAAGTCAAAGTCAAATTGTCCTAATATATCTTCCAGTATGACAACATCCACCCAATCTGTGTCAACTGCTTTCCAATCATTTGGACGATAAATCATTACACGCCTATCACTATAAATTTCATTATCTGTCAGGTGAAGGGCCATAGTTGTCTTGCCTGCTCCTGGGTTTCCTATGATGATGACAGACCTTTTCTCCTCCAGCAGTTCCTTTGCTACTTTTGCTTGTGCTGATGGAATGTACTCAAGCTGTCTAAATGAATCAAGCTTGTCCTCTGTCTGACCTAGAAGAGAAGAAAAGATTAAATTAAAGAGACAAGAAAGAATGTTTCACAAAAATACTTTAACAAATATAAAACCCCGGTTCCTTAGCCATGCATATGGCTCAACATGGCAGATATCCACACATTCTATCTTATATAAAACCTCCCCCACAATACTGATGTAATTCAAAGTCTTTAAAAACCTGTCTTAAAAGAGCACTGCTATAAGAAACCATCTGTTACGAGAGATTCTTAATGTACATTTTTATTTAATATATACTTATAATCTGTCATGAGAATATGCTATTGTGGCTGAAAAGATGGTCTTTCATGGCAAAATCTACTGTAGTGGCAAAATGGCTTGAACAGCCTGGTCTCTAAGATAGAACTTAACCTCTGTATAAGAGCTAACTCATTACTACAGATGACTTTATTTAAAAGTGGCTATCTTATACTGGCTGCAGAATATTATGTCTTTTTCTATAAATTTAAAATGTATCAGTAATATATTTAGAATATTTCAGTTGCCATTGGTATTATTATTTGTTTGATCCCTTTTGGGTCTCTTCCCACAGGAGAGTAGATCAAAATTCATAAAATTCATATCATATCTTGCTGAACGCAACTACCTGGGCAACCAATGTATCAAGTTTCCACCGAATAATTTAATGAATGTTATGGAAAAATGACTACTAGCCAGAGAGGGATTCATTTCTATAATAGTCATTAGTTGGAATTACAGTGCATGAAATGCAAAGGCATTTGGATAAACAAAAGTTGTACTGAATAACTGTGAATTTGTTTCAAGATTATTTGGGATAAAAACATTGTAATTCTTCTGTATTGATGATACATCATTACAATACTGAATACAGGTTGAAATACCTGTGGAACTCATTCAGATTACTTGAAACTTTTGCAATTGAGGACTTAAGCATTTCATTCAGCTCTAAGTTATTTTCACTTATTCACTCTGAATGTTAGGGAATAAATTATATGTTCAGTTGATGCAAAACTTGATGGTTATCACTCTTTTTAATTATTTTAAAACCATTGAGTCATAACACCATCTCTGATTTCTTTGATTAAAATTAAGATTTTGCAGCCATATTGGATATAATGTCAGAACTATTATCAATGAGGACCATCTAGACATCATAAATCTTTGCTGAAACTGCATATGCAATAACAAAAGGAGAATTATAAATAGGATCTTCAAGATAGCTACCATGGTGTCCACGTCATATATCAGATTAGCAACTAGATATTAGGAGCAGTCTTCAGGCAGAAAACTGATATGAATTTATTTCCATCTAACAAGTACCGATAACAAGATTTTTAAGATGAATGTCATGGTGGCCACAATTTATGTCAGATCAGTACCATTTTCATTTGGACCAACTAGACATCCTAAGAAGTCTTTTCATCAAAACTGCATGCTAATTTTATGTCATCTTCGAGTAGAAATAAAAAAAAAAAAATTGCAGTTAGCCATTATGCTTTCATTAAAGGCTTTCTCAGCTAGCTACATCTTTATTTTTTATCAGCTATAAGAAGTATTCTGGCGAAAACCCCATGCTGATATGGTTTTCCATTCTGGCTAAGAAACAATAACCAAGATTTACAAGATTGTTGCTGTGGTGACCATAAAGGATCCCCAATTAGAATAATTTTTATTTAGGAAGAATTTGACCATGCTAAATATGACAATGAATTGAACCAGGATTATTTCAAGGTTTTATAACTCCAATCTTATTAACTTCCATAATTTTAGGAGGGGCAACGCATAAATCACTAGTGAAAATTGTTTGTATTGTTGCCAGATACCCATGTCAGAAAAAGTCATATCTTGGAGGTGTTTTCTTGACCCACAGATAGAATCATCCTTCAATTTGTTTAAGTTATCAAAATATTCTAGTTATGTTAGAATCAAGTATAAAATAAGAATAATTATATCATGATAAACGTTTGTCACCACTGCTTATGGAACAAGGACTATATCTAGATACCACAACATCATCAACATTAATTAAAAATCAAGTCTGCAGTAACATAAGGCAGGCTTCTAGCATTTCTTTTCTTAATCAGTATCTCAAATGGATGCTTTTCTGATATTGTGCATCATTTTCATGGTTGAATTTTTCATTGCAAGATAAAAATTTTATCTTTTTATTTCATACATGTTTCTGTGTTCACAGATGCCTGTGCATATGTTCCAGGATTGATAATTTGATTATTAGTGTCTAGCCAGATTCTTCACAACTCGTATATACTGTATATATATGTAATATATTGTGCATAGCGTAACAGATAGAAGGCCTCAAGGTAGAATAATTCTGTAACTGAGTTACCTTCTCAAAATAAAGTCTTTATTATTATTATTATTATTTTTATTATTATTATTATTATTATTATTATTATTATTATTATTATTATTATTATTAACTCCTATATTTCTTGCCTTGGATGTCATGTAGTTACAAAATCTGTAAAATTTTGTTTCATATATACTAAAATATCACACTGATTAGTAAAGTCCTGTTTAATTTATATCCAGTACTGCTCTGGTAGCCTAGTGGTTAAAGCATCCGCCTCGGATGTGGGAGGTCATGGGTTTGATCCCCTGCTGAGTCATACCAAAGACTTACCAAAGTGGTAATAACAGCTGCCTCGCTTGGCGCAAAGAATTAAGTGGCTAGTGATAGGAATGGTCAGCATGGTGTCAGGATAATGTGATTAGGTGGGACATCTTACTACATGTCTGCAGCATGATGCCCCAGTGCTAGACATCACTATAAACTTCCACACTACTGTCATCATAGCAATATGGCAAAAAAAAAATTTAAAGCTACGTTAAAAGTCCAAATCACACATACAATTCATATCCATTATTTATTTGGAACCTTCTGAAAAGTCTGAAATATTCCTGGAATTTCAGTAAAATACGATGTAATGATCAACATGTTAGTGAAATCTCACCAAGTTAAAGTAAACTCACAAAACTAAATATTAGAGATCTCAGCAAAACTTAAGTGAAACTTTTGGCTAAAATGTTTGTGAAACCTCACCAAAATGTCGGTGAAAGTTTTGGTCAGAGCTTTGTGAAATCTCACAAATATTTTGATGAAATTTTAATGAGGTATCGCCAAAATCTCAATGAAAGTTTTGGTCAAAATATTTGTGAAATCTCACCAAACTGTGATAATAAGGGGAATCTAGGCTAAATAGTAGATGTGGTAATAGACATAGATGGAAGGATTGACAATATCTCCAAGATGTTTTGTAAATGCATAGAGAAAATAATAATAATAATAATAATAATAATAATAATAATAATAATAATAATAATTAATAATAATAATAATAATAATAATAATAAAAATAATAATAATAAAAATAATAATAATAATAATAATAATAATAATAATAATAATAATATGCAATGGGTTACACTAATCTCCAATCAGGTCTTCAATCACAGAAAACAGGTAATTCCATAAGCTTTAAGCATTGAGGCCAGTGGAGCCAAAGGTCAGTCTGTTTGACAAAAAAAGTTGTGTTTGTGTCTTGTGCAGACTTACATTTAAGCAGTCTCAGCTTATCACTCTCTTTCCTTCTCTTTGTAGGCGTTTCTGAAAAATTAAAATAACATATACATTTTCTCAGCCTGCAAGTGAAGTTTTAAGAACATCTGATGCATTTGCAGTGAAAATATGCAAACTGGTAAAATTCAGACCAATGCTAAATTGGGCTCCTCTGACAAGTTGACACAGTGACTTATTGTCTGAAAATAGGGCATGTTATTTTTGGTTGCTATAGACTACAAATAAGCATCAGAAGAATGATAGGTCAAATAGGTCAATGACATGGTCATATACTTAAAGCAACATATTTATTGGGTTTTAACAAGCCCCAGTCGGATTTTGTGGAGAATTATTTATAATGCATGATGAAAGTTTTATATCACTTATTGGTGATTCTGACAAAACATGTTAAAATATTAAGCATATTAAGGTATAGGCATAACTATTGCTATTAAAAGTGGCAAAAAGTGAAATTTGGGCATAAAGTGAAATCCATAAATTAAAGCACATATGAAAAAGATACATTTATTTCTGTTACTAACCTGGTTCTGTAGCTGGACAAAATTCTTGTCACAAAGGTTAAAATTCACATGGATTGGAAACAACTATTTTATATATAGCACTAATTTTAACTATTCTACATGTGTAATCTTTGCTGAATAATCATGAATTTCACAAAAATATGTAAAATCCACATGGATAAAAACCAGAATACAGAAAACAGACATTATAGTGAAAAATTATTTATATTCAACATTCATTTTAACAAGCCTAACACATGCCAAAAGATCGAGTGCTGCATTGAATCACTCTCATTTTATTCTTAGAAATTTGAAAGACACTGTTGAATTGTCCTTCTTGAAATTTAAAAATATCCATCTGCTGTAAAAGAATTTCATCCACCAGTCAAATAGTAACGGTCTGTTTCACTTAATTTCCACTATTGTCTTTAAAAGTATAGACTGGTTCACAAATTAACTTGATTATTAATATAATGAATCTCAGAAGCAAAGTTTTCTATCAAAGAAACATTCTGTTTTCAAGGAAATGGGTTATGGTACAGTTGCTATAAATAGAAAATTAGGAGAGTAAATGATGGACAAATTAGCTCTTATCCTATTCTTATGCATCAGTCTTTCTTTTTAAAATATTCTAATTATTTATGATCAGTAGAAATAAAGATGATAATATAAATCCCAACACACAACTTTAAGTTTTAAATTTATAATATGCTGGAAATGTGTATATAAAGATATAATTAGGTGAGAAAAGCATAATGATTCTGCCAAAAGCATAATAGTTGGCACGTATGCACACAGAATATAAGCTCAGCATTGTTTCGTTTAGGAGCAACACAACATTATAAGAAGTTTTTCGGTGAAAATCCAATGTTGATATTACCAACCATTCAGGAGAAGTAGAAATTGCAATATCTTACTTGTCTACTTCAATATTTGATCAGACACTACCAAGGCCCTAATCAGAAATATTCAACAAATATAGGAAAAATATGGTCAAATCTGGTTACAATCATTAGAACCTATTCAGGTCCTGGGACTTATTAGAAGCATCTAATTATCAAATTCAGTTTACTTTCACTCAATTGTTTCTGAGCCATCATGTTTACACCAGAGATAAAGCAAAAAAATCAAAGTGCCTCCCACCTTTGAGTGTGCAGGATGGGAAGAAAGAAAGTTCTACATTTTCTAAATCTATAATTTTAACAAATTCAAAAGTTTAAAAAAAAATAATTTTAGATCTTCAACTTCTATATGAAAATCTGGTCCAGTTAGGAAGAAATTTACTTGCAAAAAAATTATCCTGTAACAAACACATGATCTCTGGATAACAAACATGGACTTCTTTTAAAACACATGTTTACTATTAGTGAAAAACTTATGTTGATCATTGCCTTCAAATTAAAACTCAGTCTTTCCTCAACACTCAACATTCAAAGCATGGTTCATTGAACTAGTGACTGATTCTCTCCGACCTTTGTTATTGTCCACTTAATTGCATAGTTTAAAGAAGTCGGCAGATTTACCTGTCATCATCACTGTCTATTCTTGTATGCAATTGTGAAATTTGTATTAAATTCTTAAAGACTGGCAATGACAAATCAGATGAATATGCAAAAGTCATTGATGAGATCTGTATGTTCATAAAGAAAAATCATCAAATTTATTTTAATGGAGGACGGACTTTTCCATGTCACTCTGAATTTTCACTCCGAAAAAAAACCCCTTATACATCAAAGGTTTACTTTTACATGAAGAATCAATACATACTAAATGAAGCTTCTCCTAAAGATGTCCCATTGAATTTCAGCGCATCAAATGACTTTCCGTCGACCTTGTCTTCCTGCTTATCTCCTTGAAAAGGTTTGTCAAAGAGACTAACTGAAAAATGAATCAAATGATGTAAATTAACTGATTTGAACAATCAAGACACTTAATATCTAATTAAACAAGAGCAAATGAATTAACTTTAGTAAGACAACTGGGTAGGGAATAGAAAAAAGCTCTCAAACTCACATTAATTGCTTAGAATAAAAGAAGACTTCATAAAATCCTGAGCTAACATAACCACAAAACTGTTTTTAAAAATGATCAACATATTATGTCCCCAAAAAAACAACTCATTGTCAGTTGATGAGTAGCCATAACAAACTTCTGCAAATGGACATGCAGACTACAGATCAGTTCTTCTCATCAATGATCAGAGATGTTGTGAAAGTTATCACATACTGTGACAATTGCAAACAACTTGAAGGAAAATTGACAAAACTGCTTAAGACAACAGAACAGAACTAAGTTTATTTTATTCCAGATCTGCAGTTTCCAACTTAAATAGGGAATATTCAATCTGGAGTAGGGTATTAGCACCTGGAAAGAGATATCAATGTAACAATACTATGTGATGTATTATTTGTCCCGACCGCTCCGGTGGCCTAGTGATTAGAAGCGTTCACCTTGGATGCGGGAGGTCGAGGGTTCAAGCCCCAGCCGAGTGATACCAAAGACTTGCAAAAATCATACTAACAGCTGTCTCGCTTAACATTCATCATTAAAAAGTTAGTGTTAGGACTGGGCGGCCTGGTGTCAGAATAATGTGACTGGGTGAGACATCAGGCTACATGTCTGCAGCATGATACTCCAGTGCTAGACATCACTATAAATTGCCACACTGCAGACATCGTAGCGATATGACTGAAAAATTGTTAAAAGCTACGTTAAAAATCTAAATCACACACACATTATTTGTCCTAAAATATACAAGTCAGAGAAATTCAAATCTTGTATACAGAAAAAGGAAAGACTGCTACAATGGCCTTAAATATTTATCAGATTATATACATATAAATACAAATATTCCAATCAAATCTAATATGTCTACCTCATTTGATGCCTAAACATGCTTCCTTGGCTTTTATATTAAAAAAGATGTGTAAATCTAATTAAAATAAGGTCACAGTCACCAGTGTCTGTTCAGGTCATGGATTCAGTGAAAGTATCAATATACTCAATCAGGTTTCCTTTAACTTGCAGTTGTTTTGAAGCCATCATGTCTACATGTGCAAGAAATAGTATAAACCCAATAGTACTAGTGAAGTAATGTAAAATATTGATCAAAATCGTCAAATTAAAATTCACTCTTTTTCCTCAACACTCAAATCATACCATTCAATACATAGTCCATTGAACTACTGGATGATCATCTCCAACATAAGCTGATCACCAATAAATTGTACTATTGAAAGGAGGTTGAAACAAGTAGATTTGCCTGTTGTCTTTTTTTTGGGTGTGCAATTGTGGAATGCACATAAATTTCTAAAAAATCTGCATTGAAATTCAATTGAATATGGTAAAATTGGTAAATAATATATATACCAATATATATATTAAAGAGCTCCTCTCTCTCTCTCTCAAACACACACACACACCTCAAACTATTTAAGTTCTAAATTTCTAGGAAAGATCCCATTTCATCAAAGCGTTATTGTCTTTTCTACATCACACATCAAGACGTACTAAATTCACTTTCTCCAAAAGATGTCTGTGCCTCAAATAGCCTTTTTTCAGGCTTGGTGAAAGTTGCTGAAGGTTGCTCCACTTCCTGATCTTCCCATTTGGCTCCTTCTATAAAAACTGGTTTGTCATCTATACTTACTGAAAAATGATTCAAATGATCGAAAATAACTTACCTGAACAATCAAGAAACTTTACACCGATATTGGAAGCTAAAATCAATTGCTCAATTTTGAAGAATTTTTTTAACTGGGGTCATGTAAATGGGCACAAAATCTGCCAATATTAGTATAGACAGATTGCAATGCTTTATTTTGTCTGAATGTGGCAGTATTTCTTGCAATGTTTTTTTTTGTATATCAAATTGTATACAAGTCTGCAGTAACAATGCATTAATATGTGTATATGAATAACAATGAATCAATTGTTACTCAATGCACACTTCAATTAGTTAAAATCTAATTTATGATACAAGTCATAATTAGTTAAAATATACTTAAAGATTCAAAACTCAATTTGCTGTTGAAAAATTATCTTTATAAGTGATGAGCAAAAGTAAAATCTTCCATAGACATATGGAGTATAAAAGCTATAAATAAAATTTGAGTTTCACGATAACAGCAGGATTCAACATTGACTGATTCAAAGTATATCACTTTGGATCAGAGTTGGACAAGTGAATATTTGTTGCAGAAATTATTAAATACACATTTTGAGTACCTAAGATGATGTGTACAAATTTTAATGAACAAACAGGGATGAAATAAAATTGTTTGCAAATCATTTTTTGTTTTAATATCTTCACTCTGACTTGGTAAAGGCCACTGGATATACTTTTCCATTTCCGAAATGAACACTGACAAAATCAGTAGCTCCTTTACATTATTTAGAATACATGTCATAAATTAAATCACCTGTATACAAATTAAATTAATGAACAAAAAAGAATGTAAGAAATTGTTTAGGGTTCAGTTACATTTTTATATTGTTATGTGCCTACTCTCAAGCAATCATTTTTGTTGCAAAATAATAAGCAGAAAGGTTTATATTACCATCCTCATTCTTTCTGACTGCAATATTCAAACGGCATGACCAAACTGTATGTTCTTGATCATCACTTGTTAAAACCTCTGTAACAACTTCAATCAAGCTTTTATCTTTCTGATCTATAAAAAATAACAAAGTTAAGAACTATTAAAAATGATTGAGACTTTAATCACTTCCTATATATAAATGTTCCACTTGATATTTCTTTAAAACATCTGAAAATAAAAAAAAATAATGTCTCCTATTTTATTAAATACCCATTTTAAATTGAAACAATATGTTTCTTCAATTATGTTTATCAGAATATACAAGCCTAGGAGTCTGTCCATCATCTCAGACCTACCACTACCATGCTGCATCAAAACTGTAGTTGCTTTGTTTAGCAACAGTGACACTTTTTCGAAAAGGAAGTCAGATGGGATTAGTCTCCCATTATAAACATGACATCAAAAGCTCTATAATCATTAGTTATGATGAAGAGTGAAGTGTGCTCTAATGGTATGTAACCGCTGATAGATTTGTTAGAGGGTGTCTTTTTGGGGTATAAGGATTCACTGATGCATATCACTGTGATAATACATTTTTGTAGCTCTTGAATGTGATACATTGCGATATATACAAATTATGATGGAAATGGAGAAAACTGAAATTTTATGTCTCCACAGTATAAGCATTAAAGATTTCAGCTCCATTCATTGGCCTATTATTATCATTCTTCTAGCTAGTAGCAATCAGACTGGCACTTCAACATAGCATGAGAATTCTCAGTGATGAATATCAAAATCCATTTTTAGACAGATATAAGTAGTGTAAAATGATCCATGAATTATATGTTGTACATTTTTTTATTATCAAATAAAATATTAATACTATGTACATTTGATGTTTATACAAAAAAAACTTCCAAACCCATAATGTTTTGCTAAAGCCTAAATGACAGAAGGCAACTTAAATGTATCTGTATATACATAAAATCCAAACCTTATTGATGATCAAGAATTATTTAAAATGCAGTCTAGAGTAGAAGTATTATTATTAGATAATAACTAAATGGCCATCAGAAGAAAATAAGTGATAGCTGTAGTTTTAACTGCAGTAGAAGTGATGGAACTTGGATGTAGTCCCTCAGCTATATTTAAGGCTTTTGTCTAGAAACATACTGGGTTTCTTGCATTACAGGCATTTAAAGTTAACAGTAATGTCATATGCAGAATCTGACAAATGGTTAGGTTATATTCATGGAATACTGGTAATGTTGCCAAATGCTTATCATATCAACACAATAAAAAGATATATGCAAAAATGTATGGTCAAGCCAAGTCTCATCATTTCTATACTGCATTATAATACACAATGTATCATCATTCCTATACTGCAATATGTATTATACTGTATTATGGTATATATTGTATCGTCAGTCCTATACAGTAACTGCAATAGGTGTTATACTGTATTATGGTATATATTGTATCATCAGTCCTATACAGTAACTGCAATATGTATTATACTGTATTATGATACAGAATATATCATCACTCCTATGCTGCAATATGTATTATACTGCTTCTTAACTACTGAAGAAGAACGTTTATTTTACCTTCATGCTATGAATGATACATTTTAATGGTTCATGTTTAACAGTCTTCTATATAGGGAAGTTAAATTTGTGTGCAGAATCCCTTTTCTACTTTCAGTCGCAGTGCCTTAACCTTGGTCTCTTTTATCCCAAAGCTAATAGGCTTTATCCATACCTCAAGTACAAGCTTTTAGCAAAGTTTAGTCCAAATATTAGATTCAGAAATGTTATTATGTAAAAGACATTCCTACAATCTGTCACACTGACCTCAACACAAAACAAAATGAATGTAACATGACAACACTGTGAGGCCACTTGAATGACAACTGGTGTTTCCTGAGTCAAGAAAAAAATCAACAGATGTGGGAATGGAAGAGTCCATAATGTGTTTAGAAGGAGGTTGTAGACACAAAAATGGAAGGAAAAGCTCATCAATATGTGCATAGAATGCAGAATCTTTTCTTTACATTGTCTTGACCCTTTCCTGTGCATCAGTCAATGAATTTAAAATCCTGATCTGCAAAGGATTTATCTATTAATTCAGTAATTTGTCATTGCTTTTGAGCTTACTTCTTATACAATAATAATTATCTTTATAGTATGAAATTTGTTGTGGACAATGGATGTTTATTGGGTTTACTTTATTTTAGCATGCAGGGATTGATATGACTGGTTGCCATGGCAACCAAATTCAGCAAAGAATGTGTAAAAATCATTAAATAAGTACATATTTTTAGTTTTCATTTATATTAAGCCTTCTTTTTTTCTTGCCCTATCAGCCATGCTTTGAATGTTTACATGTATGAATGATGAAAGTGAGATTATTTTAAATTATTTGGCTTAGATTTCCAACTTCCAGCAAATATAACCACAACAGGTGTTTTGTTTTCATTGAAGTGTGAAGATTGAAAACTTAAAATAATAAAATTTAGGCTGTATAATCATTATATTTTTTAAGGATGTACTAACATAGTCTTAAACATTGCGAATAAAAAAAAGTATTTTGGTCTAACATTTAATTTGTTTAATATATAATAAATATTTTGGTTACTACAATAAAAAGAAAAATGCAGTTATAATATTGTGATCCTAAGAGATGATTTCAAACCAAATCTCCCAAATGGCAATGCATGTGTTCAAGTTCAGAAAATCTGAATGAAAACCATGAATGATAAACATTTCATAAAAACCATGAAGATACAAGTAATTTCATCATTTTTATCCATATTTATTGACATATTTATACATACAGATTATGTACTTGGGTACTGCATTATTTTGATACAGACACAAGGAATATACCACGCTGACCACTCATAATGAACCAAGCTCTTGTATCAAAAGTTATGAAATAAGTTCAAT